CACCTACGCACCTACGCACCTACGCACCTACGCACCTACGCACCTACGCACCTAGCAACCATCGCTCTACACCTAATAAGGTAACCCAAGCTCTTTGTTTGTTTAATTGTGATTAATCGTTTGGCGCATGCGCATTATCATTGCAAAATTTGGTCGCCATTTTGTATGGTTCCAAAGATTTCATAGATTTTTCTTTGTAGAATTCTTCAGATCCTTATATATAATTCTCCAATAACCATCGTCTTGGCCGTATCTCCCATGGGTATTATATATGTAGCTCCTTTGAACGTCTTCGAATGCCAACCTGATGCATCCATACCCGATAGGCGTCTTTGTTCTCGTTCGCAATGGAAGGCTTTTTCTTATCGACGGTCTTACTGGCGTTTTAAAAAATGAATACGATAGGTTGCTGTAACATCTTGTGCATGTACGATAGGCTATAAACCGCAATAACAAAAGAAACTATCTTACAAGGTAAGTTGTCTAGTAACTATTCTTTTGGAAACACAATAGAAATCATGACCATGAAGGTGATTTTATATCTGATATAGATTCGTCTTCATTTGTATAAACTTTAACTTGGATTTTCTCTATCAAACTTGGTTCATTTCGTAAAGAATTCAGTACAGTATGARAACATACATCATCAGTTTTTGAAGCCGTTCAATAAACTCGCAGATCGTGTGTTATAAGGTCTAAAAACACTGTTTTTAAACCCTGATTAAACACTCCTGCGAGTTTACTAAACAGTACATAACGAAGTCTGCGCTTAGGTCACCTATTGATATTAATGTGCCAGCCAGAGCTTATTGACTACTAAAACAAAGAGATCTTTTGCTTTAATGATTGGCAAATTTGAATAAAAAAACATTCCTCACGTCAATGTTTGTAAACAGTGAATATCGTTATATTTATTTACATAAATCTCTCAAACCACTGGCAAGTTATCAATTAGTAGCAATTAGTATCAACTGGTATCAATTTTGTATCCATTGGTATCGATTGATCTCACTCAGTTTTCGGCTATCAATATTACTGTTATCAGTTAAAACCAATTATCATTTTTATCGATTGACCAATTTTTTTGAGGTAAAAATCCAATTTGGACCACAGGTTTTTCATGGCATGTCCTCTTTTTTTACCACTCTTTTCATCACCTAGCCATCAAAATATGTTGTGATGGACTCCCAAGGCTACGCCCTGTGTTTTGAAGGCTAGATGATGAGAATAGTGGTATTTATATAATGTATTCATTTTTATGATCATATATTTATATATATGATGATAATTAGATTTTTTAAGCACACTTACAGCACAACCCACACTTAATGTATGCACATACATCTTTGCAAAGGTTCTGTACATTAAACTAACACATTTCAATGCGAAGCTGGATGGTTTTACCAAATAAGGTGTGCAAATGCTTGTTTGGCAGGAATAAGCCTGTGCATAGAACTATGCCAATATAATTTATTAAATGTGTTCATACTTTTGTGTGTTGCACTGTAATTGGAACCTATCTCTGTCCTATTGTAAATTAATCTTTTTTGAAATTTTATTATATTATTCAATAGATCAAAGTTAAATAGGGGAGTTTTCATAATTATTTATGTAGAAGGGGGCTATGATGATCTTGAATGGGCGGTCCATGTTTTTTTCCTTTTCATTTTTATGGGGGCTGTTGAAAAATTCCTCTTAATGTGGAAGAAAGTGTAGGGAGCATCAATAAATTTCAAAAAATTGTCACCATCAGTTTACTCATAAGAGCAGGATCTTGACAGTCCCAATGAAAGATGAATTCACACTGATTCTTGCTTTTCCAAAACTAATTCATAATTCCTTGTTCTGAAAGTTTATAATTATTCCAATTTTAAGTATAGGATCACAGAAAAATCTGAGAAAACTATTTAAAACACAGGTATTTGGACTCGAGCAGTGATAGGGGAAGTAAGAGAGTGAAAGCATTTTAGTGTGCAAACAAAATTTTTATGGCATTTATACTGATGTATAAATGAAGTAGGATGGTTTGGAGGAAAGAGAGGAGCATATATATATATGGAGTTAAGGATGGTGCCTACTATTGTCCAAGCCCACATGTACCGCTCATCTACACTCAAGGAATTTCAAAATTCATTACTCGAATTGCACGAAACAAAGCATTTATTTTCAATAAAGTTAAAGCAGAAAACAATTTTAAGTAACCTAGGCTTGTTAAAGAAATAATTCGCTAAGGTTTAAGTATAATTGACAAAGAATCATCAGTTTTTTGGGCACAAGGGTAAAAATAAAATTTAAAAAAAATTAATTAACTTTGTTTATAGAGGATAACACTTGACAGTAATTCAACTGATAAACTTGTGGTCCTCTGTTAACGTCGCTAGTTAATTAGGGACGGGACCACCATTAACGTGATCATCCAAGCCATGTGAAGGTCTAACCATTTTCAGATGAAATTACAAAGGCAGCACCTTCTCCTCAGTTATTTTAAGACCCTGAGTGTTGGTCCAGCCGAGGCTTGAACCACGACCTCCCGCACTAAAGTCCGATGCTCTTACCAACTGAGCTAACCGGGTGTCGGTCATAACTGGGTGTTTTGAAATAATGCCAGACTCATAGTTCTAAAAAAACAAATCCTTTCAATAATATAAGCTTTTTACCATTTCTTTAGATTTAATCCTAGTATACCACTTGAATAAAAACAAACAAGAAATACATATGAAATTGAAAATTTACCATTTATTAATATCTAGGTGTGAAATTATAGTTTTGAAAATCTATTTTTGGTCGCTAAACACTTTCATCATGAAAGTCTTCTATTTTTGAGTTTTCAATCTAAAAAATGAACTTATTACGTACCAAATATTTCAGAAATTCCTTTCTGCTATTAAGTAAAAAGTCAATAATAACTTCAAACCCAATAGTCTTCCTGGAACTAGAAAGCTTTATAAATGTAGAGCTTTTCTCTGTGTTTTTTTTGTATCTCATGTAATTCCTGGATTTTATTCTTAATTGACTTGTGCTACAACTTACACTTAGTTGAGTGTCCTTATATAACTATATACACATGTGACTATTATTATCATGTAATCTAATAACTAATATATGAATTATTACAGAACAACATTCCTCTCTCGTTTCGAAAAGGTTTTACTAGCCTAATAACAATGACAATTTATAGATATAAATGTTTCTAATATTGAAAATGTTTAACTTTTCTGTTGCTATAGTTGCTATGCATAATCTTGTAAATATGCTGGTTGTGATCTTGACCTTGTAGATCTTCGAGGGAAATTGTCATTTCCTTGTGCAGGTTGTGAAGATGGTTGTTGATTGGTGCTGACTGGCTGATACTGATGACGATTATTTTGACCTTGTGTGTTTGAAACAGTTAAGTCAACTTCCTCATCAACATTGTACTATGATCTGTGATTACATGTTAGGCATTTCTTCTGTGTTTGTGTCTTGTAGAACAATCCGTGAGGCATGAATGGCTGTTATTGTCATGGGATCTTTCCTGAATCTGGTTGAGTATTTGTTTCTTCGCTTTTGCTGCACTAAGACTTGCCTTCCTACCTTCAAGATGTGTTGTCTGTGTACACTTTAGCTTTAATCTTTTGCTCTGCATCTCTCCGACCAATAGTGTCATCATGAATGCTGTTAGCTTAAATGAATGGTTTGAATCTTTGTTCTTAATTCTCTGTTTAGAAGCAGTTTGGCATGTAGTCTGTCTGGTAATTCGGTGTTGAGTTGTGTGGTAGTTTAACAGCAAGTTGGGTAGTCAGGACAAGCTTCTTTATGACCTCATTAAAACAGTCTGTTTTCCCATTTCCTTGGGGCCAATATTCAGTCACTGTATATATGGTGATTTACTCCCCATGAGGTCAATGTTTGTGTGAACTCTTTTGAGGTGAAGTAAGAAGTATTGTCAGACATGATTGATTCTGGGTATCCCTGTGCTGCAAAGACTGATCTCAGTTTACTGATCTCAGGATTTTGGCTTCTGGCCAGTGAGAATAGTAATCAGATAAAACAATTACTGAATAATTCACCTGTTGGGAAAGGGCCGCATACATCAATGGCTAGCTCCATCCAGGGTGCTTTTGGTAGCTCAGTAGGGCACATTGGCTGTGGTGTTGGGGCTGAAGCTGTACGTTGGCAAGGGTAACATCATTTAACATGTTCTTCAAACTTTTTATCCATCTTGGGCCACCATAGCTTAGACCTGATCCGCTGCTTTCACTTTGTCATGCCAGCATGTGCTTCATGTGCTAGTTTTATGGTTGTTGTCTGAGTTTCTGTGGAAGGGCAATACAGGTCCCTGGTAGTAGGATATCTTGATCTGTGATGCAAAGTTCATCAACGACTGATTTGAAGGGTTAGGAGATCTTGTGCTGCTGTTTCTTTCTCAGGTTCTTGCAGATTGCTGTCAACTCAGTATCTTCAAGAGAGGCTTTCCAGATGCCTTGTATTGTCATAGCTTGTATTGTCATATGCTTCTCTAATGCTTGGCAGGAAAACAGCATGTTTAGCTTGACATGCAAACACACCGGAAACAGATTTTGTCATGCCATTTTCTATGCTGTGTAAWWAWKSYTTGTCACGCATTTGGCATAAGATTTATCCCTAATAATATTCTTTTAAATATTGTATTTCTTAAAAAYGCCTGTATGCCCCTATTTTTTCTTTGTTCAAATGATAAGGTAAATGCCAAATTGGCCTTGTGAAATGAAATGTATAAAAAATAATTGGTTTTGAAAAGAATATGGACACAATCTTTATGTACCTAATGATTGAAAATAGGGAGCACAAAGCTAAGAAATTATATATATTATAGTCAACTTTTAAAGTCATTTTAGAATTGGGTATATTTTAGTAAAGAAACAAATTAAAGTGGCAGTCATTTAGAGGACAATTTTAAATAGAAATTTCTCAAAATCTTTTGAATTTTTTTTAAGCCTTATTATTTCTTTTAAATGCATGGTGACCCCTACTTATCTAGCCAGAGTTTGACAACCCTTTGACATGTTAAAACAGCTTACATAGTCATTTAAAAAATTATTGATTCTCAATTAGTAGGGACCGTCCTTAAGTGAAATAAAAAGAAAAGGTAACAATAATAATGAACATAATGTTAGGAAAAATATTAAAAATTAATGTAGTATGGCTTTTTCTATGCTCAGTAATAAAGCATGCAGTAAGTGGCGTAAGCCTGAAATAAGTGTAAGGAGAAACATAAGCCTTAGGTGAGTGCTAATTCTCACGCTTGAGTACTCGCGACGGTTCCTAAGTGCTTTATCACTTAAGAGAGCACAGAAAAAGCTGTTTATTCGTTTTGTCATATAGCTACTGTACTTTTTTTTGGTATCAAATTTAATTAAGCAAAGAGATGGCATCAGCACTGTGCTCCGTTTACTAGTGAAGCACAGTTTTCGACCAAATAATAATACGCTCTGATCTTACTCTCTTCAAACAGTTTAAGCATGAGGAGAGGAAAGTTGCATGCAAACCCATTTTAAACTGAAATGCACAACAAAAACTATAATTCTATAACAATGTAACTCTTTATGATAGCTGATGATAGTCACCCAATGCTACATTCCTGTATATATGTCTTACATTTACTAATTGCTTATACAAGTACATAGTTTAATAAGCTTGGTCTTGTATTATATCTAGCTACAGGTATATTATATATACATATATATATATGGTGTGTGTATATATACAGCTACATTTCACATGTTAATAAGTCTTGTTTACTTATTAAGTAATGTATACAATATGAGTGGCCGTGTTGTATCAGATATACAACCACAAGCCGAAGGCGAGTGATTGCATATCTGATACGACACGGACACGAGTATTGTATATTACTTAGGAAACGTCTAGGTGTATACATTCATGTTCTACTATAATTTTAAAGATAAAATTGAATTTGGCTAAGAAAATTGGAGTTAAAGTTTATGCAAATCAGGACGATTTTGTATCAGATATTTATTAAACTCATTAATAATGTATGAGGAAAACACAACAGAAATCACGACCGTGAAGAGTGTTGTAAATCTGATACAAAACTGTGTTCATTTGCATAAACTTTAAGTTGGATTTTCTTGGCCAGATTCAACACGGCCACTCATACTGTATATATTACATAACCTCCTCCATGGACAATGATTTCTATTGTGTTTTTCTCATTAATTATGCATGAGTTGTATAATTACTTATTAAATGATGAGGTAGAAATGGATCACTGGAAAACTGAGGTATCATGATCAAACCGCAAAAATTGACCAGCTACAAATAAAAACATGCCTGCCATGCATTGCAATAAAAATATAAAATTCAAAAATTATTTTTTATGCAATGTAATTAATTGTTGCAATGTTTTTTTTTAATTTGGTGGCCTAGAAATCCATAATTTTAGAAGAATAAGTGACATCTCAGTTTGGCAAATTTTCTTGATTTAGCTGATTGGCTAACATTTTCCCCTTCAGATAAGCTGGATATTTTGTTTCAAGGGACCATATTTTTTGACTTCTCCTAACTCGATTACTTGTTCAATAATTTTATATGTATGCATAAATATTTGTACGATCCATGATTATCTATGTTTTTCTTTGTACCAAAAGCACAAAGAGTTTTTTCAGTTATGATATTTTGATATTTAATTGTCATTGTTTTGCTAGTATTTAATCACTATAGATGGAAACAGATGTTTTTTTAAATAGAAAAAGACATGTATTTGATACATGTATAAGCAAGTGTTCATTGCTTTTATGTACATGAAATGTTTTGAGACACATCAAATCCATGATTCTTTAGTGGGTTGCTTTGGTTTATAGTTGATTATATAATATGAATTGTCATTTTATTATTACTGTAGGTGCAATATGCTTGGACGTAAACACAAGGGAGTTGAATGTATAAGATGAATCAAGATAAAGATGATTCTGGATTGGCTGAAGTATGTAGGTCCCCTCATAATCAAATATGAAAGCATAAGGTTTTGAATTGTCATTATGAATGACTTCACTTTCATCAATATTTAATCCATTAATGTGTTTACAATGAGCAATTATTGATGAGGTGGAGCATGATATTGTAAATTATCAAAACCGAGACTGTGTTATATGCCATAGCCAAAGGCTGCATGCATGCATCATCATCATCATCATCTTTGAGGGTCTTCAAGTTCCAGTGTATTCACTGACTTGTCAAGACTGTTTTAAAGACTGTACTAATTTTTTTGTCTTTCCACTTGTTTGTTTCTTTTTTATTTCATTTCTGAGGTTAAGATATTTAACAATTACTCACTGAAGGCAAAGTGACTATCAGTGGAGTATTTACAGTGGAGCAAAATATTCACCATAATCACTGTGATCCTGAGACTTGAATAGGAGAAAAAAATTGAAATTCAGGATAAAAATATGTTTTAGTATTGCTTCCAATCTGGCAAACTTTGGAAAACTTTATAATGACTGCTGGTGCAGTGATACCATCTCAGAATCAGTGTTTGCTTGACCATGATCACAACAAGAAACTCTGTTGTGCATAATGCATGTACTAGATAATAAGACTAAGTAAGTAAGACAATGAACTTGAGTGTGTTATGGGATATAGCTAGAGTCCCTAACATTAGATAGAAAACCACATGGGCTCCACCCTTGCGGCTTTCTATCTAATGTGAGGGACTCTATATCTCATAAAACACTCAAGTTCATAACTATCTTAGAGATATATGATCACACTTTTTGTTTGTTCCTCTCCCAAAAAATATAAATCTAATAAGCTTTGGAATAAAAGTAAAGATATGATATAAAATGAGAATAACAATGGCAGTTTTAACATCATGATGATGATAATAATAATAATAATAATAATAATAATAATGTACTTTTATAGTGCACTTCAAATATCTCAATGTGCTTTACATTCATAAGTGGAGGACTTTACAGGCTGCGTATTAAGGTGCCATGTCAGCTGTGCAGCTTACAATCATCAGTGTGAACTGTTAGTAGATTAGTATTATGCCTCCAAATTGGGATAGGCTGTTGAGCCAGAAGACAATCCCCCACTCTTACACCAATAATTCAACAGGTTCTTTTATGTCCCCCATGAACATGACTAAAGAGATGCAAGGGCTAATTAAGGTTTCTGTCAATAAAATTTCAGGAAAKAACAAAATTATTTTAAGTTAACACTTTTTAACAATATATGATACAAAGTCTGATAAAATTTTTATATAGCTGCAATTTTTTAAACTCCAAAGTCTTTTAATCAGAGCAAAAAGACAGCAAGTCAGAAATTCGAACATAGTAGCACTGTCAATTTCCCATCCCTCTCCCAACAAGAACTCAAGCATCTCTCCTCACCATAGTTAATAGAGGGGAAAT